CCCCCCCCCCCCCCCCCCCCCCCCCCCCCCCCCCCCCCCCCCCCCCCCCCCCCCCCCCCCCCCCCCCCCCCCCCCCCCCCCCCCCCCCCCCCCCCCCCCCCCCCCCCGGGGCCAGATTTGACAGGCGAAAAATAAAAGTTTTTCAAAAAGAATCTGAATCGGCGATTTTGTTCAGAATTCGACGCTGTTTCCAGATATGTGACTTTCAATCGGAATTTTTTTGGAACGAAAAACCGACTTATCGATACTACTCCTTTCTATTAACAAACTTTGATTTTTAACAAATAAATTTTCGAAAAATTCGTGCAGAATTCGAACCTGCAGCCAGAAGAATAAAAGAGTATATTTTTTCATTTGCACTTTACCAATTGACCTACGAATAGATACACAGGAAATGTTGCTTTATAGGTTGTACATGAAAAACAAGATTAGAGAAAACCATCTACTATGCCTCTTCATCAAAATTAAGCGCTATTTCGAGAGATCTATGTCTAAGAAGTGATCATTTCTCTTATTCTATTGATCAACCTCATTTTACAAAACAAATTTTAATTACTTCCATGAATCTTTTGAAATTTTATTTTTGGAAAGATCTATCCGAGATAAGCACGGCGTAGCCTATAATTAACAATGGATTAGCTAGCTCCACGTCTTCTGTTGGTAATCTCCTTGAAAAAAAGGGGGTTAAGTCTTGGTATGGTTCACACTTTTCAGTCTTCGATACCAAGAAGTCAACGTAGTTGCGAACCTATATAACTTCCTTGGTTTGGTTTTACCCCCAGAATAGTTTTAATGTAAAAACACAATTTATGAGGAAAAAGCTAAAAATCGTAGTAAAAAATAAAACAAAACTAGCCAAAAATGGTCCCTATAGATATTGTCTCATTGGTGGTGCAGGATGAGGAACCGAATGGGGAGGTGGATCAGGACATATCGTCCTCTTGTTCAAATAGTACCTGAATCAACTGACTAATACCACCCATGAGATTGCGGATAAAAAGACCTAGAAACAAATATAAAAATATCTTTTTAGTTGGTAAAAGCGTTCTTGCATCTCGACGTTGGACGGTAACAGCAAAACACTCCCTTGTATCCCTATCAATGCCGCCAAACACCCATTGATTTTGAACTACTCGACCACAATTATACTTACTTTTCGTCCATCCACTTTCGTCGATTTCCACTACATGTCCACCCCCTCCAATAGCCGCTGGATACCTTAAAAGATGCATACAGAACAGAAAGAAAAAACGAAAATTGGGGCAATTTTCTTCTTCTTCGTCGGCTTTGACCACCAGTTTCTCTTCTTCTTGTGTTCTTTTTTGTGTGTTATATGTTTGTCTATTAGTTTTTATCGAACAGTTTGAAACAAATAGTGTTTTCGATGAGTTTGAGTGACTATTCACTATTCACTCAAAAAATATCACAACTAGTTCAAAACTGCAGAATGTAGAGTATTTAGGCTCTTTTAAATCGTGCCTATAGGAGATCTCGAATATAAATTTTAAAAAACCCCACGGTTTTCCAAAAGGGCTTCTGGAATACCTATTAACGAAAATATCCGTTTCGATTTTTTCGATCTTATAATCACGTTTAGCGGACAACATTGTGAGATCCAACTCCCACTCTATCTTTTATTTGAAGCAAGTAAACCGCTATATATAGTACACAAGTTGAACAAGAGTTGCGCAGGAGTGGCGCAAGAACAGAAATAGTTAGGAAAATCCCGTGATGAAGCAAGAGTTGTGCAATAACGATACAAGAGCAGAATCTTATGAGCTGCTGGGGACGGCAGGTCATAACAAACATTAACCATATCCTGACATTGTGAGCTTGTTCTGATGTTTTTTGAGTGAACAGTGAATTTTTTAATATTAGGTGGAAGCAGGCTGAAAACCCTAATTTTCGTAAAAGTGGCTTTTCGGCAGATTGTAAAACGTTTCTCTAAAAACAAATGTTGCCACGAGACTCAGCATGGTCCATTACCCATAGTCCATCGGTTATTAAGGCTACCAATAGTCAACGGGTGCCAGTCCGGGGCTCGTAGCAAACCTGATACAACGCCAGAACCGCGGAAAATCAAGATCTCAATTTGCTCCCATTTTGTAGAAAACATCCCGAGCTATCAGCCCATGAAAAAAAAGCAATACAATCGTATTGGGAAATTTTTACAGACGGACTAGTTTTTCAAAGATCTTCTGGCAAACTGGTTCCAGAAAACTCTTTTGAAAATAATTTTAGTTATGAAAACATGCCTCCAAGTCTGCTCTTTCGAATGAAGAAAATTGGAGCTCTCTAGCTCTTTCCTGTCAAAAGTTATTCCAAAAACATGTAAGTGCATTGTATTTTGGCGTCGATAGTAACTGAGTTACATGTGTTCGCTAGTCAGATCGAATAAAAAATGCAGTGAATAACTTTTATAAAAATGCAAAGTAACGGTTTGATAGAGAATTTCATGGGCTTCCTAATGATATATAATATGTCTATATATTTTGACTTTGAAAGTTGTTTTACTATAGATACAGCATGAGAAAATAATTAATCTTTTTAAAACTTATTTCAGAAGCCGCCATAACGTTTTTTCGATCAAACACCGTACCAGTAGGCTCAGAAATTCATGTAGATCAACTTGGCATACTTTTTTGGGTGTTAGTGTCCTTCTTTCTGGGTGTTAGTGGCTGTTAGTGAATCGTAGCGGTGTTTATTTGTAAAAATGGCTAAAAAGCTCAGCTATTAACGATTGTTTTGGGTGTTAGTGGGTGTTAGTATACTCAAGTCGACGAGCTCTATCGATTGGCTGTTTCACATTTTAATTTCGGGGATTTTTTGGGTGTTAGTGGGTGTTCTCGTGTTTTACAAATATCCTGAAATTTAACCCTTTCGTGTCGGGGTCCGTATATATACGGGCTGAACTTTTGCACATATTACCATTGTTATAATGTCATTCAGACTCTAAAAGACTCCTCTCTCTTTCTCTTATCTCGCCAACATTATGGTGTTACCGTCGTGCAGCGCTATATGTATGAGGAGTGAAAAGGATGCAAAATAAGTGAAATAGCGAAGATTAGACGTAAGTGTGTAATCTTTCTGACAAAACTTTCACCTACGTTTTCGGAATCATAGGTTTCCATGATTATTTTTTCATGATTATGATGTACATTCAATGCAAATACTATAGTATAAAGAGCGATCCTTAGTTCATCACACTCGCTCTTCTACGTATGTTTCAATCGTGGGTGCTCGTCCAAAATGATTTTCTAGAACCACACAATAGTTAACCTTCAAACTTTGGCTGGATAATCTACAGACACTGTAGAGTCTTTGGTGTGAATTCGAAGTCAAAATGATGCACCTAGACGAAATTGTGAATTTCTTTCTGAAAGAACCTCGAATTTTCAACAAAAAAAAGGACACCCTCGCCCGTAAAATAGCTGCATTTCACTGATTACTAACAGCCAACTCACAAAATTCATATCCTCGATAGTGTAGAGTCGTGACTGCATTTTTGTAAAAAGAAAAAGTTTTCATCTCTCTCAGGTCAGGAGTTATTGATATTTTACGGAAAAGGAATAAATCGCTTATATCTCATGAAGCATCCGGTAAAAGAGTCCCAAAGTTGGTGGGTGATCGGCCTTCGGTAAGAGCTATGACCACATAAAATTAGACGCCCCTAGCTATCATGATTCTTGAGTTGCAGTGGTGTCGCTACTTTTGCGGGACTATTTTTGTGAAAAAATAATCCCGTAACCAAAGGGTTAAGGGAGTCGTAATGTGGCACAATGAAAAAACGAGTTCTCTGGAAAACTAGTGAACGGCAAGAGTTAAAAACTTGAAACAAAAACAAAAAGTGCTCGATTGAGTTTCCAGTCAGTTCTCAAAATATGAAGTCTTAGTGACTTTTGATTTTTGTTTCACAGCATTTTTACGGAAATCCCAAAAAGAGGGGAGGAGTATCCTTAAACGGATTTGTTGATAGAAATTCATTTAAATCAATTTGCAATCAAAAATTAGTTTCAACCGCATCGATAGTGTATGCGACTCTACACTATCGAGGATATGAATTTTGTGAGTTGGCTGTTAGTAATCAGTGAAATGCACAAGGGGGAAAAAGCGCACTCCGCCACTCCAGCCACTCCGCGGAGTAAAGCACACTCCACGGCACTTCAGCACTCCGTACAATGGTCCGGAGTGGCGGAGTGGTGGAGTGTGCTTCTTTTTTTTTCGAATAAAGTAGTGATATTTTTCTCAATGAAGATGCTCGTTCCACTTAAATGCCCCCCTTCCGCCCCCTTAGAAATGGTGATTTTCGGTCAAAAAATTGGTTTTGAGATACTCACATGGAAAGATAGCCTGAAGTGTCTACTTCCAGAATCTGTATCGCTTTTGGTTATAAAAGATGTTTCGGGGGGATTCTGAGCAGGTTTTCTAAGAGCCTCGAAAAACCGGGTCGTCGAATAATACTTTTAATTTTTCCTGAATACTTATACAAATAAAAATTTTCTGAACATAATGATTTGTAGAGCAGACTTCTCTGATCAAAATAAGACCTCGCACAACTCTGTATGACCTTGCATCTAAAAGTTACAGGCATTTTCCTAGAAGTCCTAAAATTGAGTATTTCATACAGCGTTTTCTCTAGTTTATTCTTTTTTGATTTAAAGGAGGAAAAGAAACTACATGGACTGACCGGCGCCGATTTTTGAATTAGGTCTTAGTTTTTTGTCAAATTGAGGATTTTTAGAAAATCCGGAAGGCTTTTTCGGGTTTTGGAGGTTATTGGTTGCCTGGAAAACCAGTAAAGGCTTAATTGAAAAAAAAACTATGGAGGTTATCGTATATTCCATAAAAAAGTGTACAAACAACTTTTCATTTTTAATCCCGTTTACTCATTTCGACTACTCGCGTTAATCTATCTGATGATAAACGAGTATTTTTATCAGTTAACAACCAACACGCTGTTTGTTTATGAAGAAATTTATGTTCCACATTAATTTTTATATCGAAGTAGGAATCACCCAATGTTGGATTGATTGTTTTCAGTAATCGGATACCGGGGAAAGTTTTCGTTTTTGATCTTAATACCTCGTTTAACTCTGTTTCATTTTCACTGTCGCAATCACTTTCAGTTTTATCATCACCATGTCGTTCATTATCCGTTGTTGTTTCATTGTCCGAATCGGATTCCGATTCATACTGATCGGCGAGTGTTGAATGATCATTTGTATTAGTCAAATGATTACGTACATATAAATTCAAATCATTTAATTCTAACGCTTTGTTTTGTTTCAGTAGAGCTGACATTTTCAATTTAACAATTATCTTTTTCGCTTGTTGATAAGCATTATTGATAATAGTTTCAATGTACTGCGAAAATGTCCCATCACCTTGTAATAGCAATAACTCCATGAAAACCTGAAAGAATCTTTACTTATCATACATCATTCGATTCGTCTTTGGAAGGCAAATCGTTGTATAAAGATTGCAAAATTTTTTGTCGTTAAGTGAGTAGCGAACTTTTAAGAAAACTTTGTCTCTTATCGTCAAACACTATATTTTTTCAGACATATTTGTGTTATGGCTAACTCAATCAGTACAACCTGCAGAGTCATCTGCCATTCTGGGTTTCAGATCTGTCTTCTCGTTCAAAATGGTCACTAAGCCTAGGAAAAAGCTTAATAAGTTCCAGAAGTGTGATTAGAAAAAATAAAGGAAAAATCGGGAACCTAGTGCATTGGATAGGATTCAGTGAAAATCGATGTTCTCTACTAATATTCCATCGGCTGATGGGAAACTTTGTTTTTATGTAAGGATGCTCTATCAAATGACCGTTTCAGATTTTTTTATCTAAGCGTTGAATTTTTTTCGTTTCTTTTGTCCTAACAGTGCAATGGCTATACGTTTCACCCATATATATGCGGTCTAAGAAGAACGCGTGCAGAAAGAAACAAGAAAAATTTTCATTAAACGAATGAAAAGAGAAGCGAAGAGAATTGTTTGTTCTCTTTCCTTTCTGAAAGTGTGTTTATGTCCACATACAGACTTCTCTATACGACATTAAACAGAAGAAGATAAAGCGCTATACGCTAAAGCTCTACTGTTTTTAGTCGTTCTCCTTTCATTAATCTTTATGTTTCACCCGGTTTGCACATCTTAATAATTGATAATTGAAATACGCAAAAGTAGAAGAAAAACAGTAACTGAACTGAGTCTGTGTACAAAATCTAAAGTGAACTATATAACAAGAATTTTCACTGATCCAAAAACGATTTTTTGTTATTTTATCCAGTTGATTCTTCTAAAAGATCTTGATTTGGGGTAAACCCGCAGAGCCGGCAACGGAAACGATCCTACAAATATCAGATCCTCAAGTTTTTTCACTCTTGGTATTGGTATGTAGGCTGCTGCGACTTATGGTTTACAGCTTGCTGGAAAACGAGATTTTTTGCAATTGTTTGCCCTTGAATTTTATATGTTGTGATTAAATAGGCTGGCAGAAAGGGAAAGTGTTTCTGGTTAATTTCACTTTTATTTCTATCATATTCTTCCTTCGTTCTCGTTCTGGTAAGAGTTCTGTATACTCCGCTCGAAATGTTTCTTCAACACGCGCTATTGGAACTCATTTTTCGAGTTGATTTTTGAATTTCCATCAACACATACAATGTTTTCTAACGAACATCGTATCTGGTGGAAAACGACCGCTCAATGAGATGAGTTCAAAGTAAGAAAACGAAAAAATGCAAATGTGTTATAGAGCGCATTCCAAAGCATATGAAAATGTCTTTGCAACTTCAAGCTATCTCGTTGTATAGTACTTTTTAGATGCTTCCATCTATTGAATAAGATGGTGTGTACATTTGCAGATCAGTAGTGTCTAGGCATGCAACAGTTACAGTTAAGTGTAAAACTGTAACTGTCATAACTTTTAGACACATATTCTAGAGTGAGTTAGTCTTGCACGATTTGTATTATAACGAAACAGAATTGTTCTAATAAGTTATAATGGGTTACAAGCCCGAAAAGCGTTTTGAAGCAAAAGTGTGCGTACAAAAGTTGTTTAGAATCCAATTCTCCAGTCCACCAGGAGATCTTATTCCGTTTTTGTAAAACTTAGTTTCCAACGGATTTTTGAACTCTTTTTTTGCTTTTTTTAATAAGCATTACCAGCTTGTCGATTAAGTATGTTTCATGGGATCTCAAGGTTACCCCAAGTCACCGGGTGCTGCTCCTGAAACTCCAGTAAAGTTTGATACGACGATCGAACCGCAGAATATCAAGGTCTCGCTTGATTCTCATTTTACAGAGGACTCTTTTACCTACCCATATAAAGAACCAAAATACATACGATTATTTTACATTACATTACATACGATTACATTACATACGATTGTTATTGAATTTTATCACAACATAATATTAGTATTCGTGCAAAATATTTGCCAAATCATTTTTCACCATCGTTTTTCAAACATTTATCCAATTGTTTTTTCGTATTGCCACTTTGGTTGATTCCTTTTCAACTGTTTTCTTAATCCGAGAAAAGCTATCGTTGAATAGCTTTACGTTTGCATCATGGGGGGAAACTCAGCTTTACCTAACTGTGTAACTTGACTAATGAATTTATTTGATGCGCAATTGCATCAATCATCAATCAGGGTTTCCGCGTGCTTCGACCTCATCGTTACCTACACTATATCATGGAGTCCAACAGAAGTTTTAGAAACCTACAATCTACCGCTCATCTATCTGCAGATGATGCTACTCCACTGCGACAGGATCACTGTTTAAGAAGTCAATAATACACTCAATTCAGATTTTGTGAATTGAGTGTAATGTGAACTCTCTGACAATTAAATCCGAATATTAAAAAATGTGTAGTAATGACGTTTTTTAAAAACATATTGACGTAAGTAACTATGAGATAGTTATAAATGGAAGAATTTCGCCTATACCAGGGTCGGTACGAGTACTTGTCAGTACTTGCTGTTGTGAAAGCAACAGCGTTCTAATTTGTTGAGCAAAATATGCATTCTTAGGCCTCATTCAACGCAGGTTTTGATGCTCTATAAAGTGATCTATAAGTAATTTTTGCTTAACGCTTTAATATTCATAGAAACTCAAAATAATCACAAAAGTACTTGTACTTGCCAAGTACAAGTACGTTTCAAGATATTTTAAAGCTTTTTGAGAATTATGAGATTGCATTAGAAACGCTGTTGCTTTCACAACAGCAAGTACTGACAAGTACTCGTACCCACCCTAGCCTATACTCATTGTATTAAAATTCTCTCCTTACTATACGTGCATATTAATCATTTTCAGACTCCTGTTCTCGATCAAATATATAAAATATAAGTTTCCTTAAGTTCATGGCACTCCGAGCCACTCCAAGCCACTCCGGGCACTCCGGCACTCCACGGAGTGGCGGAGTGCGCTTTTCCCCCCTTGAGTTTCCCATCGGTTTATCCTAGTCTGCTTCGCTTTTCCTTCAGTATCTCCAGTTACATTTTGTTCGATTGTACTTTTCTTCGGTTTTCCTGCAGTTTCCCCGCAGTTTCTCTTAGTTTTTCAGTTTCCTATAGTTTGTTAAACTTAAGCGCAGACATACTAAAAACACACACGAACACATTCAAGTTGCAAGTGAACATCCATCTACTAGAGAACACTACTGAACATCTTTACGAGTGAAGCCCGTCTGCACTGCGTATTCACACAAATATTTCATCAGAAAATGCACAGACAAAAAACTTGTGCCGAAAAAAAATTGACTCGAACAAAACATGTCATTTTTGACATTTACTGAGTATATTCATGAAAAACACTGTCAGGAACATACTGTCATCCGTCCGACTGTTTATCTACTAAAGCATCTCCTCTTGAGCTCAAACTTCAACAGAATCTGGGACTGCCAAGTGTTTCGCCACCGAACAGCACCAGTAGATACAATCGCGAATATACGTAGACTCAGTTGAAGTTTTACATTTCAGTCGATACAGAAACTTTCAGTAGTTTTTCCATAAATAGTAATAGTCTGCAAAACGTCACGTGTGTAAAACAATACAGGGACTGACAAACGATCCATCTATTACGGACAACAAGAACCAACATAATAAGGAGTATAAGAACAACAACCAGTACCAACCATATAACTAGGAAGATGATTCGATTCATATATTTCGCGATTGTGATATCGACACGCGAAGCTTCAGTTTACTAATATATGCTTCTATCATTCCGAAACATACGGCGTATGACGCAGCCAAAGAATTGTTCAAACAAGCAGCAGGAGAACCAGCAATATGAACCCATTCAGATATTCGCGACCCTAACGCGGAACGATGAAAGATGATTCACGTGTCGAAAATCAGTACATCATGAACAGCGGTAAACAAAGGTATGTTACAGATCGTTCAGTAAACTACACCTACAAGATAGAAGACAGTGCCCTTCGAAAACCGTTAGCGAGGCGGTCGACCCTGGACGTTCTGTGCTAATGCGTGTCTCTCTGTTCGAGAAGCTAGTCGGAAGGTGCTGATACTGTAGCTGATAGTAGTCAGGTGGCATAATGATCAGTTCTGATAAAGAGCAGTCGAATAAAAGAGTGATAGATAAAGAACGCGTATCTTAGTGCACGCATACAATAAACTCAAGGACTTATAATTGGAGGATATAAGTCGTCACAATGTGGAATAAACTGATTTATTGAGAGCTGTTACAAATAGTTTAAGAGTGCTGCTAGATTTTACCGCATTCGACAAGTGGTTCCTCTCATTTATCATTGATGGAATGAAGGTATTTTGAAAAATGGTACTGTTTGTTTGAATAATTTGAATTTTATTATTGATATGAGCGTCTCTCTTTGGTGTCTAAAAGTCACGAGTGGCGGAATAAGTTCTGATAAGTATGCTTGGGTCAGACCATTCACAATTTTATAAAATAACTCAAGTTTGTGTTTTCTGAAAAGAACAGTGAGATCGATCGAGCCTAAAGTGGAGAATATCTTTTCCTTGCTAGCTAGAGGCAAAGCCTCGCTAGCAGTTAATTCAGCTTGACATTGCAAATCAAATATTTTTTTTAGCTGCGATAAATATGTATTGGTGTAAAGACAATCTGCATAACTTATGGTTTGTACGAAGGCAGATCTGTAAATCTAATGATTGTTTTTAATGTGTTATCTAAATAATCTTTTGCTAGTAATTTACGAATAAATTTATAGTTTAATATTATGTGCGATTGAGTTTATCTGACGGTCAAGATCAGTGTGAGGCCAAGATCAGTATAAGACCTAGAGGATATGCTACTTTGTCTATTCCTTACGTGGATAGTATATATTGGAAAGACGCGCATTGTCTAATCTAAAAGATAAGTGGGAAACGCCATAGACGGATAACTGAATGAGTATCATGAATATTAATTGATAGTCTCGTTCTTTTATTCGGCGAATATTCATCGGCCTGATTCGTAGTTTGCCTTGTTTTACATTCTTCACAGTGAAAAACACGGAACAGGATCATAAGTATTGGTATCAAGAAATCAGATAAACATGTATTGTAAATATTACAGAATGTTGGATAACTCGAGCTTGTTATTACACATAGGTTTTGTATTATACCATTATAAAGCAGAATGTGAACAAATGATATTAGCCAAAATAATGCAACGATAAAATAAAAAAGATAAGATCTTTGTGTAAATATCAAATGTTTAAGTCGAGCCAATGTTGCCAAGAAAAATGATTACAACTACGGGTCTTATATTTTGGGATGGATAATAGCTATATGATAATACAGTATGAGCAATAAAAGATGTTTTCATTTTTTTAGCTCTTTTTGTGTTGTTACTATTTATACTGATGATTTATCGCTATGCTTTTGTCATTAGCATTAGTAGTTCTTTAAGGCCATACTTACGGTAACAATGTCAAGATATTTTTACTCTGCAAGTTGAAGTTCATTTGGGAATTTTATCTGCATTTCATCTTTGATCTAGAGCGCAATATTCTTTTTGACCTAGTTGTAAAGATAAAATTATTCTATGTTTTAGTTTCTTAACGTATAAGAGTTCATTTGGTTAAATTGAGAAAGAACTTGAAAGATAGTATTTTAGTTTTATTACACCTGTTTGACATAGCAGTAGTGAGGAAATTTAATGAGCACTAATTTCGCAAAGCTAATTCATACTGTAAGTGTCTGGACGGCCGTTACATCGCCTAAGCTCTTGATTTTTTGTTGGAATTACTCTTTTGAATGTAGACTGCGAGTCCAGAATTTATTTTGAAAGAAAGCAGCATGTATTCTACGTGGGGGTTAAATTTCACTCGTCTGCATTCTGTGATATTTCTTTTTAACTGTTAGGGGTGATGCCTTAGCTCGTTCACAACACTTGGATGAAGCACAATCGATTATAGAAAATTATGAAAAAATGAGTGAATGTTTTCGTTGTTATGCGCATGGCATTACTTAGTGCATGTCGAACACATAAACAAGATAAGAAAGCAAAAGAAATTTATGATAAAATAACTGATATGAAAAACATAAGTAATGATTATTTGGCATTTGTCAATGATGTAACGGGAAACACACATGCATCAGCAGGTAAATATCATATCTAGCTGAATCTGCTCGTTGGAAAATGATTCATAAAAATATAAGAAAATACCAGGCATGACATAGATAGAAATCAATGGTATTAGTCATTCGTTGTATGCGCATGACACATCTCATCCAAAATCAAAGCAAATCTATAATGAATTAGGTAAATTACAACAAGAGTTAATTGATTATGGCCATAAATATGACTTTAGTTTAATAATACGCCGTGTTAAAACAGAAGATGGTGAAACACCTTTACCTGTTATAATGGGACATAGTGAAAAACTGACTATAGCTTATGGTCTTATATCAACTAACCATTATTTGTAGCTAAAAACCTAAGAATAGATTATCATACAGTAAGAAAATTAATATCAAAAATTCGTCAGCGAGAAATAAATGTTCGAGATGCTAACTGGTATCATAAATTTTAGAATGGACAATGCTCGTGTGTTACACACTATATATTTCTCATTTTGGGAATGACGTTACAACTGAAGAAAATATGACTCGACTGTGACTCGAACCCAGAACCATGACATTTCGTGTCAACACTCTGACCACCTAAGCTATTGAGCCACAGTTTTATCCTATTGTCGTGTGTATTACGTAAGAACTTTTCTTGTCTCTTTCTTTTTCTCAGTGTCGTGCAATAGGCACAGTCCGATATGATTACTGTTTCTTCTATATTAACGTTTAAACCAACTTTTCTTATGTAACACTGTAATGATTCTTTTTATTATTAATACAAGAAAACGCCAAGAAATGGCCAAACAAGAAAAAGACGCATGATACCTGCAAGGAAAAAACAAGTGACCTGATAGAAAGAAGGGTTGATTGTCATTTCACAACTTCCATACAAAGAGAATAAATTTTGACAAAACATCAGGAATCTCGTTTTCTTTAAAGTTTGCAGTATTAATTACCATTCAATGAATCTACTTTATGGCTCAGACTATTGGCACTCTCATGCAAAAAGCTTGCTGGAGTATCAACAAGGACGTCATCTGACATTTGAACGGCCCGACGTTTGAGCGTTCCTCGAACTATACTTCGACTCATAAGATTCGTATTGTATATTCGCATCATCACGGGCTTCTTGCTCATCGGGGAGGGGAGAGAGCAGGCGGATAGTGAGAGTAAGTGAAAAAGCTAAAAATCTAATAGATGAAAATTGGTATTGACACCCCTTGCGGATGTCAATAAAGAGATCATCCGATAGGTAGGTAACCCAATCTGCGGAGTTCTGTTTTTAGTCTACGCAATGCTAAACTTCTTTGAACTCATCTGCTTGCTACAACTATGGTTGGATTGAGAGTTCAGTATGACACTGAACTGACACTGGAAATTTTCCTCTTATTCTAAGGTTTTGTTATATCAATTTATATGTATTAGATTTTCAGCTTTTTTACTCACTATCCACCTGCTCTCCTCCCTCCCCGATGAGCAAGATGTCCGTCAAAATGCGAATATACAGTCCGAATCTTACGAGTCAAAGTATAGTTTGAGGAACGCTCAAACGTTGGGCCGCTCAGATGTCAGATGACGTCCTTGTTGATACTTCCAGCAAAGTTGTTTGCATGACATACTATATGCGGCTTTCTTGGCCAAAGAGTAAGCGGCAGGGGCGTCTATCCTGTAGGACGTTTGAGGCGCAATGCCTCAAACAAACGTAAGGTGGTACCCTTTTTTGCTGTAGAAATTAATTGTTTAGGTGGTACACTGAGTGATCGAACCTTCGAGGTGGTACAAAATGCCTCAAATATTCAGGTGGGGATAGACGCCCCTGGTAAGCGGCTATTTTAAATCTGAAATATCTCACATTGCAACATATAACTATCCTCCAACCAACTCATATCTATATAAGTCCAGAATTCAGTGAACATCCAACATACCAGCAATACTATATCCAATGAATTGTGATGAAATAATAGAAACACCGGCTAAAGCAAAATCGACTTTATAGCTATCGGCATAATAAATTCTATAAACAATTGTATCTATTGCGTACGATGTATGAGATGTGCTAATCATTATGTAACTTAAAGCATGTTGTTTAATTGAAAATAGACCAGGATTTAATAATCGAAATTTAGTTGGCAACAAAAACGCCATTAATCGTCCAAACGGATATGTTAATAATATAATAATACTAGCGGAAGTACCCGATGTCGGTCTAGATAATATGATAGTACATGTTTGACGTATGAGAAGACGACGTCGCTATGGTCTTCTATGGATTACCGATCGGGGATATCGCACAATACGCTTGGATCTTTTCCTTCTCAACTTTTAGTATTTGATATTTTGAGA